GTGGGACTGCTTTTTACAACCGCTTCTCTTAAGCCCTAGTGATTCCCGTACATTTCCCCTCCTAAACGTGGCGGTAGCGCCTAAACGGCTTCAGATAGAGCAAAACGGACGAAATTTTCGCCCAAAGGGCCGCAATTTGACGAGTTACCTCTAAGGAAGCATTCTTGAAAGTTTTAAAAAATAATTGAAATAGCAGCTTTTTGAACAAATACCCAAAATGACCCCTAAATATGAATTTAAGCAAAAATCTTTGATGTGTCCTTCGATGACATATTTAGACCAACAATTTCCCAAAGTAGAATGAAAATCGGGAATTTACACTTGGCGGGGTTCCCTTGTAAGGGGTAACTCGTGGAAGTGGAAATCTGTGAACTAAAATTTTGTCCGTTTGGCTCTATCTCTCACCGTTTGGGCGCTGGAGGGCCTTTTTTTGACGAAAATAAGCTAAAAATTGTTGGAGTGAACATCTAGTTGTAGAGGAAGGCCTCTAATTGCAAAGTGGGAACCCCCACCTTAAAAAAGAAGTTTTCCTAAGCAGAAGGGTGGGTTGTAGCCACGGTGCGTCAACATTCCTTTCTCATGTCTAAGGGGCAAATTTTAATAACGACGTGATCTAGCGGGCCGAAGGACCGCTATATCATTTGATTATGTTCTTCAGCAAATTGCGTAAATGATACGGTCGGGCCGCAGGCCCGAGCGTCGCCGCCGGACGGCCAAGCAAGCCCGGCCCCTGCCCTGGCGGGCCCCGGCGAGCCCTGGCGGGCCTGCTTGTTGCTTTTCCAAAGCACAAGGACAAGCTAAAAACGACATCTAGGGTTTAATATATATTTCAAAAGAATAACGATCTTAGCAAATAAAGTGCAGCACAGCAGAGTCTGCTCCTGAGGGCCAGGGACCAGTACCAGTAACTTTAGTTACAGAATCTTACACGTAACTTAAGAAATAGAAAAACTGTTAATAGAATTACTGTAGCGTACATTTGGTGCGCGGGGCTTTGGCACACTTCTTTCAAAATTAATACCATAAAATAAATAGGAAAATATCTGATGACATGATGCGAAGGCAACAAACAACTGCGGTAGCCTAACGTACCTGTTTACATTAATTCCCATTGCCGGTATTGTACCGTAACAAATGGAAACGAATTATTGTACAATATGCGAGCGGATAACGAATTGTAACGCAGCTGTAAGTTCGCAGTTATTGGTCCCTGGTCGCCTTACGGCGTGTAACTTTAAGCTTCATTACGCGGCAGTATGGCACAAGAAAGAAAAGTTGTTAAATCTGTTCATAATCTTTCGTACTTTCACTTGTTAGTGTACTCTGGCGCTCTTCTTCTCCTGGGCGTATGCGGCTAGGCGGTTTTCAAGTTCCTCTACAGTCGGCAGCCAACCCTTGTCTGCCACGTCCTGTACGAGACCTTCTAAACGTGTCTTCAATGCTGGTGTCACTTTCAGGGTCACTTTGCGTTGTTCGCCATTTGTCGCGCTGTTCGCGTTGTCTGCCATTATCTGCCTCAATTCTTCAACCGTTTCGGCGTCTGAGTACAGCCCAAAGTGGTAAACGGGTGTCACGCACAAACCGTAAGGAGCTGCTATCTTTAATTGGTCCTGCAACAATATCAAGTCAAAGAAAAACCATTATGTAACTGAAATGCCTTGCTTATATAACGATGTGACCCAGCGGCAAAAGTCAATGTGGCAACGTTTCATCGTGTATTAAAGGGCGTTCAACGTAAGATTTTTGACCAATATAAAAATCATAAAAATTCTCTAGAATGACCAAAAAGACGTTTTATGTCATTTGGTGTACTCTACGCGGGTCTCCAGCTGTTCCAGGAGAAAGATTTGCGACGTTGCTACGCTCAGAGTCACATCAGCTGCGTCCAGACAAGAGGGTCGCTTGGGCTGCTTGGGTCGCTGTGGGGTCTCTGAGTCTGCGCAGAGAACCAAAATGTGGCCTCTGCGCCGGCTCAAAGACCAAATCGACCCAAGCAACCCAAGCGACCCTCTTGTCTGGACGCAGCTATCGTCTATTAAAGGTAAGGGTCCGGTGAAATGAAGTTTTTCTACAGCCTTAGGGTAAAATATTTTAGCTTTTGGTATGTTGTAGGGATTGTAAAAAAAAGTAAATTTGACCACAATCTCCCCTCTGTGGGCCAAGTTACACTAATTTAAGTGTTTAAAATAGCTCAACTTTGGCGAACTCCTTGCGCAACACAGTATGGAGTACGACCGAACGCATTGGCAGTTGTTTTTTTAAAGCTTTTTCTGAGGTCTGATCAGTGAGACATTCGCAATTTTTCTATTCAGGCAGCATCCACAATTTTTTTAAAAAAATGTTTCCTCCAAAAAGTATTGTTTTTGGCCGCATTTGACCACTTTTAGAGCTGTTATAAAATCTAGGAAGAAATTAAGAAAAAACTCACTGATCAGTCCTTGAAAACACTAAAAGGAAGTCACAAATCAAAGGGCAGCTTTCTACCTCATAAACTGTTGCGCAAGAAGTTTTTCAAAGTTCCACAAAATGTACACTATCAACAACAGGCTTTGGTCGAAAATGCTAAAGGAGCCATTGGGTAGACCGATCCAAAATAATAAAGTAAAGATGTTTCGTGAACATTAAATGGTTTACCCGAAGGAGAGAGGTCCAAACAATGGGGGAGCTTCAACGGTCTGGCGGTCCAGTTTTGCGCGGATGGTCTATGGTCTATCGAGTGTCAGCAATGTAAGAATAAGTTTCGACCTTTATCAGTTCTGCAGTGTGATTGGCGACGGCCGACCGATTCGCAATCAATTTTATACAAGCATTTTTGTTCTCAAGTATTAAAACCTTGACTAATTTGGACATAGTTCCATGAAGCATCGCGTTATATCGTTGGAAGAACTGAAAGAATTGGTTGCGCCAACAAATTTTTGGATCATCCGAACAAAATGAGGACTCGTTCCGAAAAGGGACAGCAAGTGGTCGACGCAACTAACCCAGTCGTTAATGTCAACGAAGCGGTTTAGTTGGCAGTACAAATAAATTACGCGTCGCACAACAGTGTCGACATTAGTTTTAGGAACTAAACCAATCGTTGGGACAACTAGAGTGGTAGCTCCTATTAAAACGTTAGTTAGAAGAGCAAAAAAGTTTGTTATATCTATTTTAACAAAACAGTTTGTTGTGGTAACAAATGTTTTGTTGCTAGAGGTAACTCTTTTTCTCCGTGCGTTATACGCGGTTATACGGCACACCAGCCTACCGATGGAGTTAAGGTGCCCTTACACTCAGCGCGTCCGCTCCGTCCGTGTCCGCCGTGGCCGCCCGGACATGTCCGGACGTCTGTGGCTTGCGGCTTTGGACAATGATTTGAATGCTACGTTCACATGAAAGTGAATAAACCTGAATATATTCTGAAAGGGGAAGGAACAGGGATAACGAATGTGTAAAAATATCGGTTTTTCTGGAGCACTATAAAAAAGATCGGGGGCATTTGAAAGAAGGCCACGGCTTCATGGGTGATGCATGCCGTAGTAGTTAGAAATTCGGGCATTTAGAGACTTCCTGGACCCAAACATGGAGCGAGCCGATTATACGATAGACTTTTAGCTTCCTGCTCGTATTTTTGCAAACCCTATGCGATTGATAGTTCTCGAGAACGAACCGTTTTTCTGCCGCCGTGTGTGCGCCCGACCCGTATTCTTAAAGCGCTTTATTGGAGGGAACTACGACTGTCTCCAGATATTATATTTTCGGCTTAATAATAATATTTTATTATTATGCCAGCAATCATTCATATCTTTCCGACTAGATTCGAATCGGAATTATTTCGCTCGACTGGGCTTTCGATTTTTTTTTTGTTCCGTGAGGTTGGCGTGGCTGGTGTGTTTGTGCTAGTGTTTGTGTTTGTAAAACCGAGGTAACCGGCGTTATAGCCATTTACTCGTGGTTAGAATTGATGTTTTGGTGTTAAATCACAAAGATGGCCCCTGTTCGTTCTCTTATTAGAAATTACATGCTATTTGCATTGCAAAGAAGCAGTGCAGGGTGTCCTGTCTCACGTGAAGATGAGGGTGAGAATCAAGCCCTTTCCATTATATCTCTTTGGTTATGTGTGGTGTTCCAATACTCATTTGTTCCTTAATTACAGGAGTTTTGAAAACGCTTGCGGCGTACAATTTTCTGAAACGTGAATCGTTGCGCCTAAGGACTCTAGTGGTGCTAGCCAAAAGAAGAATGAAGCGAAGGTGGTGGGTTCGACCCATATTTGCTGATCGCAAGATGGCAGGAGCCTGGTTTTCCTTAATTCCTGTCATGAAGGAATTTGATGCTGAAGCTTACTTCAACTTCCTTAGAATGACACCAGATTCTTTTGATTGGCTGCTTGAATTAATTGGGCCTGTCATCAGCAAGTCATGTGATCGTAGGGAGGTTATCTCTGCAGGAGAGAGGCTGGCAATAACGTTAAGGTACCAAAAATAAACACTTTGTTTCAACGTTACTTCCTAAACCAATGTTAAAAGAATCCGCTAATGCATTCTCTGTGATTCAGGTACATGGCTTCTGGTGACAGTCAGGTATCTTTGTCGTACTTATTCAGGGTTGCTGATTGCACAATTTCACAAATTGTAACTGAAACAACTGCTGCAATATGGTATGGCCTGAAAGGCTTTGTATTTGAACCTATCTGTGAAGATTTCTGGAGAAGAAAAAGCGCAAAATTTGAGTCAATGTGGAACTTTCCCATGTGTGTAGGAGCCATTGACGGAAAACATTGCTTTGTTCAGGTAAGCAATAAATTGAGTGCTTTTGCAGAGGCTCTGAAATATGTAGCACTCCTGGATTGCTACTAAGGCCCCAGTTGGCTCCTTTGTTATATCAGACAACTTTGTCAAGATTTTGATAATGCTTTTACTTTAATTGTTCCAGAAATTTCCAATGATGGGGTCAGAATGTTACAACTACAAGTACGGCAATAGCCTTATTCTACTTGCCATCAGTGATGCCAAGTACAAGTTTATAATGGTGGATGTTGGCGCCAGAGGGAGAGAAAGTGATGGCGGAGTCTTTGCACGCTCTGAATTTGGACAGCTCTTTCTCAATGATCAGCTGAGGTTTCCCCCAGCAGTTTTCAATTCTGAACTGGATTGTAACCTTCCCTACGTCTTCCTTGGTGATGCAGCATTCCCAGGTGGCACCCACTTACTGAAGCCCTTTGAGAACCGCTATATCCCGCCTGAAGAACATGTGTTCAATTACAGACTATCAAGGGCCAGAAGAGTTGTTGAAAATGCGTTTGGTATCCTAGCAGCCCGCTTCAGGATATTCCGAACAAATATTATTGCAAGTGAAACCCTAGCACAGAACATCATTCTTGCCTCTGTTGCGCTGCCTAATTTACATCTGATCAGGGAAGATAGCATTCCACCTAGACAGAAACTGTATTTGCCACCTGGATATGGTGATGTGTACATGAGCAATGGGAAGCTGAAGAAAGGGAGATGGAGGAATGAATGCAAGCAGACAGAGAAGTCCATTTTGAAGACACTTGTGCGTCAAGAGATACCAGGTGCTGATGAGGATGGTGAAGAAGAGGTCAGAGAAAAATTCATGGAACTTTTTATTAAAAGGCCATTGCCATGGCAAAGTGATGAACTTCCAAACACATTTTGAGTTATAAGTTACCAAACATTAGGTCCCTTGCAAATCTATTTACATGTCTGGCACATTTATGTGTGTTCATTAATTTCATATTTAGATAAGTGGTATTCGTGTACATTTACATTCTCAATTTGTGATAAGTTTTCTTCTGCAAACGATCACCAGTAACACATGTGATCAAATAGGTATGTGTTTATTGTTTTAAATGTGTTGTGTGGTGGCAAATTTTGTACTGTTCACCTTCTGATCACTTTGCCAATCAAATTGTTAATAATTTTGTACCTTTCATCTGTGTGAAGTCTGTTTAAAAATGTTTAGTGTATGCTATGCTGTGAATACACTCACTACAATCTTACCAAAATGCTCTTGTGGGAAGACCCTGTGATAAATAAACAGACCAATATTATCAAAACTTCTTTATCTTCAAAGTTTTTAAAAATGAAACAAAAATAAAAGCACTTTGCAGTCATATTTATCAAAACTTCTTATCTTAAAAGTTTTTAAAAATGAAACAAAAATAAAAACTTTCAGTCATATTTAAAAATTACTTGACATCTCTGTGAGATCAGAATAAAAGGAACGAATTTCAGTGAACTAACAATTGTAAAATGTTACATTACATCATGCCGAGAAAACTACTCTGGTGGCGCATCGTCCCCCCCGTTAAAGAAATTATCTAGTTCTTCTGCATTCAAACCACTCAGATGTACTAATTCTCCAAAGTTGTGCAGCATCCATCTACCACTGGCATCAGGAGGTAATTGTTTTAGGAGGCAACTAATTATTTTTCCAAAGTAGCTATAGACATCACCATCCCTTTCCAGGAGAAACTGACGGAGCACAGCAACCTCAACATTCTCTGCCCCAGCTTGGGCGGCTGGCAGTCCAGCAGGCCGCTGCTCTTGCTGCTGCAGGTCTGCTTGCCTAGCTGCTGTCTGGATTCGGATGTTGTCACGCAACCCTTGCCTGTGGCGCTCATGGTTGATTTGCCACTGCCTGTGTTGCATATCCGCCTCCTAAAATGAAACAGACAGAATACTCTTCAGGTCATGTCTAGCCTCGTATTCCCCAAGGTGCGCCCTCTGTTGCTCCTCAGCCCGATACATACCTCCCTTCTCTTCTTTAAAGAGGCCTCCGAATACCTCATTTTGTGATACACTAGATTCAACCCAGACAGTACACAACAACAACAACAACATTCGGAACGGCGCAGGCAATCTGACGACGGCGCTCAACAGCATCTCCGTCTGCACCTCGCCTGGGAGTCTGCCGCCTAGGTGACTCGTGTCCGCGTCCGCCCCCTCGGCCCCCGAAACCGCCTCCACGACCTGGGCCACCGCCTCCACGACCTGGGCCACCGCCTCCACGACCTCCGCCGCCGCCTCCGCGGCCCCCGGCGCCGCCTCCGCGGGCCCCGCCCCCGCGGGCCCCGCCTCCGCCTCCGCGGCCGCGGCCCCCGCCGCCACCTCCACGACCTCCGCCGCCGGCTCCACGAACGTCCAAGTCGCCTTGACGACGACCGCTGCCGCCTCCACGGCCGTCTTGTCCAACAGCTGGTTCTGGTGACACGAAGCAGGAGGGGGTGCCGATCCGTCCACGACCACGTTGTCCTGGTGACCCGTGGGTCGAAGCAGGGGTTCCGAACCGCAGTCTTCCTTCACCAGGTGGTCGTCGTGGTGACTCGGTGCCCGAGGTGTTCGGCCTAGTATCTCCTCCTTCAGGTGGTGCGGGCCGGTGATGCATTGGAGACCGCACCAGCTGCTGATCAACCAGTGCCTCCTGCGGACCCTGCGGGCGAAGAGCGTCGCCGTCGCCCTGCTGAGCCTGGCGAGGCTGGACCCCGCCATGTTCATTATCATTTTCAGCCTCCACAACCGTCTCCATCTCATGGATAATGGACAGTTCTTCCAGCAGGAGAGGATTCACCTCAAAGTTAGAGGCGCGCCTTCGGCGTCGCCGTGTAGTCTCGGAACGGATCGACTGCTGTGATGCATCCGAGTCCACCGAGCGCACCGAGGTCGCAGAGATCGTGGACGCCACCGAGAGGTCTAGCTGTCGCCGGGTTGGTCTCTGCTGGGAACCTTGGGGTGAGTACCGGTTGGGCGCGCGCTTATTTCTGCGGACTCTGGGAGAGCGAGTAGTGGCTGATGATGGTGGCGGGACGTCGCGGGCGCGTGAAGTACCACCGGGTGATGCGACCAGTCGTGGTGAGTTGGGAAGGAGTGGAACAGCAGGTACAACATGACGGCCGCGGCCGCGACGCGCAACAGATGACGCCGGGGAGGATGTGGCGGAAGGACCTGCTGCGGCTTGTGGTGGACGGCGGAGGGCAGCTTCCTCCTGTCTTCTGTCGAACTCGCGCTGCACAGCCGCCGAGCAATCCTCTACTTGCGCTTGGCCATCCCCATTACGTTCTATGAACAAAATCACGTTGAAAACAGACGGTGATACTAAAAAAAATAGGAGACTAAACACAGAAACCTATGCCCCTTACCTCTATTGTCCGCAGCGAAGGTGATGCTGGTGGTGTCAGGGTTGGGGAAGATGTTCGACTCATGCCATTGACTCAGATCTTGGCCAACGTCGTCTAACCAAGCCATGTCATCGGCCTGGTAGTTGTGAGGGCGGTCTCCACCAGGACCCCACTCCTGTAGTTCGCGCGTTGCCTGCGGATTCGCCTGGAACGGTTCTCCGTCAGTCTTTTCCACTCGCTTTCCAAGAACGGTCCTGTGAGAAACAAATCAGCAATATTACTACTTTAAGCTAACCTTTGAATGGGAGCTGCGAACTGCTGGCACTGGGCGATACTCACCGTCAACTTCGTCGTCAGAATAAAGTTGGGCGATTTCTGTGAATGCCTTGACCAACAAATTCTTCTTCACGTGATTTTTCTTTGAATGGTCAAACACTGACCTCCTCTTGAAAACTTCGTTCTTTAAAGAGGCCTCCGAATACCTCATTTTGTGATACACTAGATTCAACCCAGACAGTACACAACAACAACAACATTCGGAACGGCGCAGGCAATCGCGCTACGCGGCGACGTTCGGTTGTTTGCCGCACCAACCTCACGGAACAAAAAAAAAATCGAAAGCCCAGTCGAGCGAAATAATTCCGATTCGAATCTAGTCGGAAAGATATGAATGATTGCTGGCATAATAATAAAATATTATTATTAAGCCGAAAATATAATATCTAGAGACAGTCGTAGTTCCCTCCAATAAAGCGCTTTAAGGATACGGGTCGGGCGCACACACGGCGGCAGAAAAACGGTTCGTTCTCGAGAACTATCAATCGCATAGGGTTTGCAAAAATACGAGCAGGAAGCTAAAAGTCTATCGTATAATCGGCTCGCTCCATGTTTGGGTCCAGGAAGTCTCTAAATGCCCGAATTTCTAACTACTACGGCATGCATCACCCATGAAGCCGTGGCCTTCTTTCAAATGCCCCCGATCTTTTTTATAGTGCTCCAGAAAAACCGATATTTTTACACATTCGTTATCCCTGTTCCTTCCCCTTTCAGAATATATTCAGGTTTATTCACTTTCATGTGAACGTAGCATTCAAATCATTGTCCAAAGCCGCAAGCCACAGACGTCCGGACATGTCCGGGCGGCCACGGCGGACACGGACGGAGCGGACGCGCTGAGTGTAAGGGCACCTTTACCGGGTGTCCGGGAGAATACGCGGCAGCTGGTATGCTGTAAGATAGCGTGGATCACTTGCGTAGAACGAACTATCGTAGTTTCACGATGTTTCAAGCGCTACACCGATATCACTTTTCAGGGAACCTGTTGGAAGGGGTGTTTCTGGGTGCTTGAAACATCGTGAAACTACGATAGTTCGTTCTACGCAAGTGATCCGCGCTATCTTACAACATACCAAACTGGTGAAAGACGAGTATAGTTTTTTTTAAACGCGTTTATCTTACCTGTAGCAGTGTCCAAGGGAACAGTTTTTCAGGTTCCGAACAACCGGCCGCACTTAGAGTTGCGAGTAGTTCTTGATGGTACCCCTGCAAAAGGTTGTCCCAGTGCAGGTCGCGCATAGGCTTATCAGTGCAAACTAGTAAAATGGTGACGATGTCAAGAGCTGGAAGTCCGTACACACACATCTGGAAGTCGATGAGGCGGCAATCTGTCACAGCGTTGGTGACCTGTACAGTGTCATCAAGATTGTTAGTGGTTGTGCCTACACTGATAAACTAATTGTTCAACTGCTCAACACTTGCAAGTGTGCAACTGCAAGTCAAATACTTGCAAGTACAACTGCAAGTTGAATACTTGCAAGTACAACTGCAAGTTGAATACTTCCAAGTACAACTGCAAGTTGAATACTTCCAAGTGCGCAACTCGATAGGTATGCACTTGCAAGTGTGTAACTCCTCGGTTGTACACTTCGCTCCGCAGACAACCCCACTGGGCAAAGGGTCATGCCTGCTTGGCCTGCTGGCGACATTTAGTTCGATCTGCGGCTTATGACGTGTTGTGTTTACTATCTTAGGCTTTCGACTGGGCAAGCGGACGTACATTGTTTTGTTCCCTAGACAGAGGGGTATACTACTGCGGGGGTTTCCGGTTTAAGACCTTCTTGTACATGTACATCATGTACATCGTGGCCATTTTCGGCGTATTTTTGTCGAAAAACCCTTCCAGCGCCCAAACAGTGAAAGATAGATCCAAACAGAAGAAATTTGGGTACATACAGTTCCACACTGACCGTTAATTAGAGTTACCCCCTAGACGACGATATATATATTTGCAGGGATCACACCCCTGCAGGAGCTAACTGTCCCAAGGGGGTAGGGGTTGCACGGATCGCCCCCCTGCATAGCAGTCGACGGACGCTAGTGCGGCCGGTCAACGTCGAGACACCTCTCTGTGCCGGGCAGCGCGGCCCCGGGCAGTCCAGTCTCGATCCCGCACCAGCACTTGCCGGGTCCCGGGATCTGGGGTGACCTCCCGTGTTATCGTTGTGTTATTTATTGTGTGTCTGTCTTGTGCTTGGGTAGACCAATAAACCTAGTGCCCATACTCCAGTGTGCTGTCAGTCTCCTACCTGGTACAAACCCAGCAATATTTTTTAAATTATTTCTTTTCCTTCAACCCCCAATTCTTCAACGACTCCTTACACCCGTTTTAGTGTGGTAGATAGGATTGACCAGGGTACCCTGGGTGTAAGCTATGAAGGACTGAAGCGTAAAGAAGAAGAGCAGGAAGCCAGACCAGGAACATAACAAAACGGCAATTTTTTCATGGGATCTCTGTTTCTAGACAATTTTAAGTCACAACAAAAGTTCCTTGGATGTTTTCCGAATTTTTTTTGAAACTATAATGAGTTGAAAGTTGTCGGGAACAGATAAATAACTTACCAAAACCCAACTGCCGTTTTGTTATGTTCCTGGCCTGTATTCCTGCCCTTCTTCTTTACGCTTCAGTCCTTCATTGAAAAATGAGAACCTCCTGTAACCAATGCGTACCCTATCGTATTGGTACATCATGTTGATGACGTGCAGGTCGTTGTGTATGATGGTGTATCCAGGGCCGGTCAGCGGCCCCATCAACGCAACACTGTCCTCCTTGAAAGCTCCAAAAAGCTTCTTGAGTCTCGTGTGGACATCGCTGCCTTCTGGGAACTTGTCCCGCACCACATCTGAGGATTGCAATTAAACTGTTGGATCAGACAGCTACAACAACTACACCCAGAAAAATTGTTTCTTGATTCAAGTAAATTTTTCTTGTTTCAAGTGACGCTGACGCAAGATGAAATTTCCCATTGAAACAAGGCAATATTGCCTTTGGAATAAGATTTTTGTCTTATTCGAAAGCAAATATCAGCGTGATTCAAGAGTAAATTTGATCTTGTGTCAGCGTCACTTGAAACAATTTTTTTTTTACTTGAAACAGGAAACAATTTTTCTGGGTGTACACGCAACCACTCTTGGAGACTGTCTAAAACTCTGTTTATACATACGTGGGACTTGCACCATGGCTGAGTGGTACGGTTTCAAGTTCTCTCTCATCGCCGCTGTGTCCCAGATGCTTAAATTTAGCCTTTTCTTGATCTCCTCGAAGTGATCTGGTTTGAGGTGCTTCAGTGCTAAGCCGGCGCCGTGGAAGCGGGCTAACTGCTTCAAAGCCAAACGGCAGTGCGCCGCGTCCAAGAAGACACTGCGGTCCGCCATGGCGAAGCCCTCGGGACGCATGTCTACCAGCACCAATGTGTGAGGAGGTGGGCCCTGTACGTCGGAAAATTCATACCTAGAAAAGAAAATTCCCTACAGTTTTCCACAAATTCAAAGAACTTCAGTGCGTGCCACGCGTAATATTTTCCACGTGTTTTTTCTAAAGCGGCCACCATTTGATTATACACGTAGTTTCTACATCAGGAACTTGAATTTCGTAGTTAAAATGTTAACGATCACATTTGAGATATCAATTTTAGCTCGCACGGAGTTGACAAAGGGTCGCCCTTTCCCTGCAACGAATGCGAGCCACTCAATAGTAACTCCTGATTTTTGCCATACATTTTTGTTTTGCTTTCTTGAAATGATGCCAAAAATGGTCAGATTTTTAAAAATGTACATCAACTGGTACTGCTGGGCCAAAATGCATTTTACGGTACAGCAAACGTACTACGGTAGTGGTGGTGAATGTATGCATTTTCCAGCAAATGTCCAGATTCATCTCCGAAGTCACCAGCACCGGGGAGTGTCATTTTATTTTCCAGACCTCATTTAATCGGACATACACTGATTTCTCTGTGGCGAAAGTTGGTACGATTATCCAAACGCGCACGCACGGTAAAAAGAAGCCCTGAGACTCCCAGCTCTGATAACTGACTGGCGTCTTTTGACACGAAACTTTTGGCATATTTTCAAAGCCAAATTTTGCCCTCTTATGACGTCTTATGACGCTGAATTTAACGGGATTTTATCGCATGACTCATGATTTTTTTTACACGTCAACATTTGTGTCTGTGGGTGCGGATATCTTGGTGTTTAAGGAAAAGACGCCAACCAATTTTCAGTTTATATCAGCGACAGTTGAAGTATGTGTGTGTCAGGTCTACGACACAACAGTGATGCGGGTTTGCATACCCAATAAGCCGTGGCCTCTGACGGGTAGAGTTATAGAGTGTAGGCAGTCGTGGCCTGTCTCACGGTACACTAATAAACCAGGAAATCATTTAAGACGTCCATGTAGTGTTAAACAAAACTTATTTAATATCACGACGTACCTAGGCCACGGCAAGGGATCAGTTAGGCGGGCAATGCTCTCCATCGCCGGTAGTACCACTTCGTATGTGTATGCCTCTATTTCGTACATTCTTGACATGGTATCACGAAATATCGGCATTGATGTTTTGCAAATTAAACTGAGAGCTTCATTTTGAGGGTTAGCCTGTAATGGGAAAGTAATATGACATAATGACATGACATTAAAAAGGCATATTTTTTTGTAAGTAACTTCCACTTTCAGACGTTACTGTAAACCCTGATGGGACAGACACGACGTATCCGTTCGATATGACGAAAATCCGACCGAAAGGGTTCAAAAATTGTCGTTTCCGACCAAAACACGCGTCGTATTTGCGTCAGACACCTGACGTCAGCCTCAGTGTCTTTCCGACTGGACACCTAGCGTCGTATCTGACCAAAACAGTACGTAGTTTTTAGCCCGACCTTCTGCTTTTAAAAAGGCATTATTAGCCCGCCCTTCTGCTTTTAAAAAAGCATTATTAGCCCGCCCTTCTGCTATAACCCTTCGGCTGAAAATTTTGTCCGTTTGAGTCTATCTTGCACTGTTTGGGCGCTAGAGTGCTTTTTTCGACGGTTAACACTGAGAAAAATTTTTGGTGCCCGGCATTAAACACTTGTTTAATGCGTCCCACTTTGTTCCCGTGGCAAAATTTTTAGTGCTGGCCAATAGAATTTCCGAGGCGTAGCAATAATGGGGTTTAGCGCCAGGCGCCAAACACGTCTTGTGCTATAGGCTGAGGTGCACTTTGTTTGATGCACGAAGTTTGCATGATTGAGTAGTTCAGATGTCACCGCTAGATGGCGGCACCACTATCGAAATGCCTGCCTTGTATCTCGCTGGGTGCCCCGGGTGCACACAGCATCAGGTGCTTGGGCAGTTTCCCCGAATTAATGGCGTACCTTATTTAGAGGAGCCGCCACTTGCCGCCATTTGGTACTATGGCGCTGATTTTTGAAAGGAGATTTGTACGGAAAGTGCATGGCTATTCCACCCGTTTGAAAATCAACTCCACTATTGCACTCCCTGGTTACAGAGTGTGGACCAAATCCAGTATTGTCCCTGTCATCGTACCCAGTTTATGTTCGGGGAAAAGTTTTAGTTAATGCCTGAGCTTGCATATTCTTTAGTGCCAGTGCCTGATCTATTCAGCGCCTGGCACCAAAGCCGGCGCACTAAACGCCTTTTGCCCCTGGAACTGAACACTTTAGTGCGTCGAAAAACTTTCGACCTGGGCACTAAAGTTTAAGTGCCTGGCACCAAAAATTTTTCTCAGTGAACCTTTAGCTAAAGCTAGATTGTCAAGGCACTTCTAAATGTTGTCTATCGCTAGACGTCTAAGCGTAAAGATGGTTTAGATTAGGGTCAGATCATCTAGACACGTCTTCACTTTGTCTAGTGCTGGATGTCTAAGGTCATACATGGGTTAGAATGGAAATAGATCATTTCGACACGTCTACACTTTGTCTAGCGCTAGACGTCCAACGTCATAGACGGGTTAGACAAGAAATAGATCGTCTCGGGTCGTCTGTTTCTCGACTAAACCTAGTCGTCGACGTCAAAAGATGTCTATTAGACCTCTTTTAGCCATCTACGTCTAGACGTTTAAACAGCTAGACCAGCCAGACGCGCATTAGACCATCTATAGAATTATATAGACGTCTATTTTCTCTTAGGGAGTCCTATTACTTACGTCATCGGTGATCGTGGCACGATACACTGTGCTTGTATATCCATCTCCTGCTCCTGAGCCGGATGTCACATGAAGCCTACACAGAAAAGGAAAGTGAAAAAATTTGCCCAGAGGGCTAAGCGAGGGGCTCACAGATAGGCAGTCCCAACGATCAGGCCACAAAGCCCCCCTGCCCCCCCCCCCAGTTTTTCGTACAGTTCAAGTAACTGCTGCAGTGGAAGCTAGTGGCCCCAGGTCGATTCTCTTAGCAAATGGCCTATATACGTTCCGCGGCCCTTTACAACTATGTGATATGGTTCTAAAAGAGTTTCATACCACCTAGAAATCACATTATTTAGTGCAATGCTAAAAACCTCCGAATACTGCAATAGTGGGTGACTAGAGCAGTTTAAAGGGTCCGAAATGTAAACTCCAGTACGTTCCTAATGCCTGGGTCTCTCTAGTTAAAACCGGTGCGTGCGGACGGGTGCGCCTGGGTGTCATGATGGTCATTTACCATGGTTAGGCCGATCATTCGCTTGACTTTTAGGTTACATTGCTATTTTCAGATTTGAGATACGGCGACGGGTTTTCGCTCAACACCCAGAGAATCGTTTCGTTGATTTCACTGGAAACGCAAGTGTGTAAATGTCGCACACTTGTAGGTGTTGCAATATCCATTCGTTCACTTAGAGGGGTAAAAGTGCGAATTTTCTAGTGTCGAAATAAGTTTTTAATTTGAGGCATTTCTTTAATTTAAAGAAACTGCTTTGAATCAAAGCAGCCATCTTTAATTTAAGTGCACGAACCGCGGCAAAATGAGTTCCTACGCTGCTGGAGCGATATCTCTATTTTTACTATTTCACCCCTCTTTTTAAAAAAAACTGTTTCTCAGTCCTCAGACCATAACCACTTTCATGACACTGAAAATTTATCGCTGAGCGAAGCTCAGTCCAAGTCGATGAGGGGTCAGGCGATGTCTCCGTCGTGAGTCTGTCTGTCTGTCTGTCTGTCTGTGCGTCACATTCCGTATCTCCTCAAAATGTGCTGCACTGACAGCGATAAGCGGGTTAGTCTAAGAATCGAGAATTAACGAGGATTATCTGTGTGCATTATTGCATGCATTGGTCAGCTTTGAAATATTCAATCGTTTAATTTGAACTCGCGCGCAGTTCGTTGGTATGTTGGCAGCACTGCACTCCAGTGGGTGAAAAGCGCTGGCGGCTCAGGCGCTCACTTCGCG